AAAAAAAGAGGCAATCAATTGAAAATGAGAATGATGCTCACCAAGCATAAAGTGATTTTTCTTGCCTTTGAAGTTACCATGAAGGAGAAACTAAGTTCAGGTGGAGTGTAACCATTTAATGGACATATGTATTTATCCAGCATGACTGTTTGGTGCCCTGTTTGGTTTGGAAGGGCTTAAGGAAGTTAGGCAGGAAAACAAGTTTACCCTGAGGTCTGCTTCCCAGACAGGTAGCCCTCTATAGTAGGATTCCTTTTTTCTTTTTTTTTTTCCCCCTTCGTCTTTTTAAATAAAAGTGTACCTCTCCACTCACCGGAATCCCAACTCCTCGACCTCTCCAAACAGCCAGCCCATAGAAAAGCCTGTTTGATGTGTGTGACCAGAGCAGCAACTCCCTCAGTCTTACGACCGGGCTTAACGTCCCTGTTTGAAGAGGGAAACCCTTGATATATAGGTTTACCTGCTCGGTTGCGGTTGAAAAACCACAGCAACGAGGGAGCAGAGGGAAAAAGAGCCACGCTCTCATGGTTTCCATTTCTGCCGTCAGCTTCACGTGAGCTCGTGAAGGCAGAGAACCCCGTGAACAGCTATGAAACGCCGGCTTTGTCAGATTAAAGTTAAGAACTAGGATGTGAAATTCATGCATAATATATGAGGGGGTTTCAGGTATGTTGGGGAAAACCCAACTAAGCTTTCAGTGGGCCTTTGAAGATTTTGTTTACCTGCTCAACTAATATTTACAAGTGCCGTGATCAAAAAGTGGCCCTCTAGCAAAAAGAGAAACTTACAAATAATCTATTCAGCAGAGTTAATGTAGGACCGCTGCTTCACATCAGAATTTACTTTAGTTTTGAGCATTTTAATCTTATTAAGAATATTTATGTTTGTTTGATGTTTGTGTAGTTGTTAAATGTAAAGCAATAAGCAATCCAAACTTACTATTTACATCTTTGTCATGTATTTAAGCCACGTCTTTGCAGACACCATCACGAAAGTATTTCCTTCACGTCCAAATTTTCTTCTTTTCTTTGTCGTTTTTAGACTTGTAAAGCTTCCCTCAGAAACCTCATTCAAATGTTACTCACCTCTAATTTTTTCACCCTCCTTTCTGTCTCTCCACTCCTCTCCTCTCTGCAGGTGTGGTTCAGCAGAAAGTGCTGGGAATCATCCCATCCAGCACGGCAGGAGGTGCTCAAACCTACACCACATTCCAGCCCCGCACTACCACGCTCAACATCAGGCCCAATACCGCGGGCTCCCAACAACAGGTACAGCTGTTGTTTTCTCAGGTTACAGCTCTAGTTTGTACATTTTGTTCATAATTGTGTTGATATATTATTTTTAACCGTGTTTGCCAGTGATGGGAATCACCCAACACCCCACAATACAATTTGATATTATTGCGTTTGATGATGAGCTTTGTGATTACCCCTCTGCTGTAAAAGGCTGATGGGGTAGGGTTACAGCAGAATATCCAAACTACGATAAATTGAGAGTGAGACGATGTAGGATTTTCAAATTGATACCATAGATGTGTCTAGTAAAATCTCGGACTGACGACGATCTCAAGGTCAGAGGTAAAGTTTTCTGAAAATCTTGTGAACAGAATAAGTAGAGAACAAGGCAATGTAGGATTTTCAAAGCTACTAAAAATCTTGAACAAGTTCGAATCCCAGTGACATCAACCTCAAGGTCAGAGTTCAACCTTTCTAAAAATTGCCTAGGGTTCCCAAATTTATACCATAGGTGCATCTATTAGGATGTGCCTGCCTGCTTCAAGTCCTCTACCATAATCCCTGTCCCCAAGAAACCTAGGATCACTGGACTAAATGACTACAGACCCGTGGCTCTGACATCTGTGGTCATGAAGTCTTTTGAGCGCCTGGTTCTCTCCTATCTCAAGACCCTCATGGCCCCCCTCCTGGACCCCCTGCAGTTTGCATACAGAGCCAACAGGTCTGTAGATGACGCCATCAACATGGCCCTACACTTCATCCTGCAGCATCTGGACTCCCCAGGAACCTACGCCAGGATGCTGTTTGTGGACTTTAGCTCTTCCTTCAACACCATCCTTCCAGACCATCTCCGAGGCAAGCTTTCCCAGATGAATGTGCCTGATCCCATCTGCCGGTGGATCACTGACTTCCTGACGGACAGGAAACAGCATGTGAGGCTGGGAAAGAATGTCTCGGACTCCCGGATCATCAGCACCAGCTCCCCTCAGGGCTGTGTTCTTTCTCCTCTGCTCTTCTCCCTGTATACTAACTGCTGCACCTCCACCCACCAGTCTGTCAAGCTAATCAAGTTTGCAGATGACACCACCGTTATTGGGCTCATCTCGGACGGGGACGAGTCTGCCTACAGGAGGGAGGTTGAACGTCTGGTGTCTTGGTGCAGCCACAACAACCTGGTGCTGAATGCCCAGAAGACAGTGGAGATTATTGTGGACTTCAGGAAGCACACAGCAATAACCGTATGACTGCTCCCACCACTAACACATGACCCTACGCTGTGTTCACTGCATCATTCCATGTTTGGCACTGATCACCACCTGCACTCATGTATATATCATGTATATATCTATCTATCTACTTAGCACTTTTAATTCTTATTCTCATTTTTATTTTCATGTCTATTTAAGCTTAATTTATAACAGTATTTATAACAGTATGTTTGCACTGAAGCACCGGAGCAATTTTCTAATGTTGTAAACCCGCTCAACATTTGGCAATAAAACCCTTTCTGATTCTGATTCTGAGGCTTTTTTGGTAAGGATGTAACAGCCTCCCCACCAGTTGAAGAGCCCCCCAGTTGGCTCGATGCAACGGAGGCCCCCCGCGCCACAGCTGAGCTCCCATGCACCCACCCGCCCATAACCATGGCGACACACCAAGCAGGACCCAAGGCCCAGCCAGGGCCCCAGCCCGGAGATGGAGCGTCCCCAGAACCCCACGCCCGCCCCAGACCCACCCAGGGGCCTGGTTGGCAGAGACTGATAATAACTTTATACACATGCTCCCTATACAAAATTTTAAGATACAGATTATGGCATTTTGGGTACTCTGTTATGTATTTAGCCAAAGATGAGTGTAAGAGTGCTGTCTATAGAGAAAACGGTGTAGCTTTATGATAAACACCTTATAGCAAAGTCAAATTTTGTGGAACTTTTTATTTCTTTATTTGTCTTTAATTAGTCTTAGGCATGTTTCTTTTGCATGAACCCAACCTGGATCTTTGACCTAGTTTAAAAAGTAGCTGCTGGCTTTGGAATAATTCATTAATACTGTCTTTATGGATAATATCTCCCAGGTTCTGGCAGGTGGCAGTCAGATCCGTCCAGGAATGACAATGATCCGAACGCCAGTCCAGCAAACAGGACCAATGGGAAAGACGATACTTCGAACACCCCTCGTGGTCCAACAAGGTGATTTACATTCATTTTGGCTGAACAAAGAATAAAGGAGTACTGCTATCTGCTTTGGCAAACTAACCCGATCCCTGAAAGTATTTTAAAGTTGCCATCATTGTTATAAATATGAGTGTTTTGGGGGGATTTTTTTTTGCACCATTTTGTTTTCGGATTTGATTTTACCCATTATAGACTCTCAGGAATAACAAATTATAGGTTTATGTTGAATAAGTTAACACAGACTGTATAACAGACTCGTTACTGTAAGTAATCATATTCAGTGTCATGTAACACTGTCTCCCCACAAAGACCAAAGTGTGGCGGGAAAAATGCTGAAAACTACTCAAGTAAAACAACGGATGAGAGTAAAAGTGACCCACTGTTTATACAGTTTGTTGCCTGGTTGTTAAATTTGTGATATTGTTCTCTTTCAGGTCAGGGTGGACAGCAGGTAGTGACACAGATCATTCGTGGGCAGGCAGTTTCCACGGCAATATCTGCCGCCAGCCCCGTCGCCACGGTCACTGGCCAGGGAGTGGCCAGTCCCAACACAGCGGGACAGGCAGCAGGCCAGACACCACCCGGCACCCCACGAGCACAGGGGCAAGGCCAGGTCAAACTGACCCTGGCACAGCTCACCCAGCTCACGCAGGTTTGTGAGGTCCTGTCATACACAAGCAGCATATCTACAACAGGCAGCATTAAAATGGATTTCCCCTTATTAATTCACGTATGGAAAGTTGACTACTTTCCATGTGCTCTAAACTCTTGCAGCTTTTTTTTTCTTCTTACTCTTGGCTCTGTGTTGTCATAGAGAGGGGATATCCTCAGTATGGTCGTCTCAGGCACACGGCTCTGGCTGTGCCACCTTCTGTTAAATCCTTCTGTCAGTGAAGGGCAGGCTGTCGGTATAGAGTTGGCACAAAGCAAAGGTGGCCGTAAGGGGGGAGGAGCTAAATCAGCTTCTCTGAGAGAGTGGATCCGCTGATGGAGCACAAAAGGGATCGGTCTAAGATGAACAAGATGTTTTTTGAGCAGTCAGTCATGCCAAGTGACTCTAGTAGAGGCCAAGTGTAAAAATATAAAGCTGGAAGTGATCTTAATAGGCCTTTTAAAAATAAATAAATAAATAACAAACAGCACTGTGGCCTGTAACCATTTGATCTTGGTTATATATTACACTCATCCTGCTCTTAAAAGTACGACAAATAACCTGTAGATATACATTTGTCTTTATACGTTTATCTTTAATTGTGTATTCAGATTTATAAATGTTCAGCTTGACAATTTTAGAATATTGCATAACTCCTATTTGATATTAATAGTTTTTTAGGGGCTTTAAGTCTTTCTAAGACAAACTAGGGTTGAAATACTTGGAAATTTAACATTTCAACCAAAAGTGTTGATGTTACAAGACTTATTTTATATTTGTGATTTTTTTTCTTTTAACTTTTATGTTGCAGATCACTTTAACATATACGTTTCTTCACCCAGTAAAGGATTAACTTTACATTCAATGGATGAAAAAGGCTTTACACTCATAAAAATATTGCATTTAAAACAAGACAATACCGCATTGCCCTTGTATCTGATCTGGATTTCTCTTAAAGAAATGGTGTTTTACAATTTTATGAACTATGAAACACAAAGTGGATGGTGCCTTAAACCACATACATGTTTTAAGCAGTGGCAGAAAAGTCAGAGACAGTTGAGAGGCAGTGGCTCCTTCTGCTTGTTGGCAATTATTTGTTAACATGTAAAATGCCCTTTCTCACAATAGTTTAAAATAATTAAAAAATGATGGACTCCTGTGGATGCATCAGACCCATCACTAAAGAGTTCAGATGGGATTTTGGAGGGTTAAAAAGAAGGTCTCGTGTACACAAGATGTACGCAGTGCTGATTTTCCTTCTGAACAAATTTCACCTGGTTGTAATGAGGTTTGGGAATTAGTGGGGGAAATAGGGTATTACTACTCCTCAGATAATGGTATGCAATCAACATTTGTTACAACAGGCAATTTATTTTGGATTAGACTGGACTGTAAAATTTTATTTACAAGCTTTCCCGTTCTGCTTCATCCTCCCACAGAAGCAGCAGGCTGGATCTGGTGTGGATCGGCAGGCTGGTGCCAGTGGTACTCAGCAGGCTCTCACGGTGATGGTTCAGGGCCAGGGTCAGACCACCGGCCAGCTGCAGGTCATACCTCACGGGGTCACTGTCATTCCAGGACCTGGTCAGCAGCTCATGCAAGCTGCGCTGCCCAACGGCCAGGTGCAGCGGTTCCTCTTCACACCGCTGGCTTCAGCTGCTACGCCCACGTCAAGCACAGGTATGATAAGAGACAAATGAAGGGCAGATGAGGCCTTTTCTACAACTTGCATTAAGGGATAAAAAATAAGTGTGAAACTTAAATGTGATGTCTGAATTTAAGTGCATGTCTGCTTTTTCCTTTTTCTCCTTCCAGCCACAACAGCAACCAGTCAGCCCAGCTCCACCTCAACCAAAACTCCAGCCCAACCTGCTCAGCAGGCCGCTGCCCCGATTCAGACAGGGGCAGCCCCTCTGGCCACCGCCAGCACCCCTTCATCGGCCAGCCCTCAGGGCCAGTTACCCCCACAGACGCAGGCCCATATGCCCATACAGTCTCCTACCTCGCTGCAGGTTAAAACACAGGAAGGAACGACCCAGCTGCAACTGCAGCAGACGTCCCACGTCATCAGTGTGTCTGGACTTCAGCAGCAGGTATAGTTACGACTAGCAAAAAAGTTAACTGCATCCTCAGTCACTCCTTTCCCCTCAAAGATGATGACTGTGACTTTTATTCACATTTAAAATCTTCCAGTGAAAGCCTCACAGCAGCCGGCAGTAAACCGGTTTGCAGTTTGGTGCAGTCTGTGGATTTGCCATTGTTTCCCGCTTTGAACTGCGATTCAGCTGACAGTGTGATTTGTTAAAATTGTGAATTTTCTGTGTTGTGGCTGCAGGTGTTGGCCCAGCTGCAGGCCCAGCAGGTTGGAGGCACGCTGCCACAGCAAATCAAGCTGCAGCTTCCCATCCAGATACAACAGAGTGGGACCACCTCAGCTCAGGGAGGACAGGTATTAGATTCAGCTTGCTACTCCAGGACTTTAGATCCTCAGAAAATAAAGAATGAAAATGCGTTGGATGTAAAATTAAGCTTGTAGCAAAATTGTATTGCACATGTTCTAATGACCCCAAACATGTCATCATTGGGATGAAGATGTTAAATAATCTGATCCTTTATTCCTCTACCTTTTTTTCTGTATTTACAAAGCCACTTTTTTTTTTTTTAACTATCCAATGACTCCCCATTTAAAGCACAAGCTGACTGCCACACTCTGCTTTGCACAGATTGGGAACGTGGTTACCATCCAGGCCGCGTCTGTCCAAGAGCAACTGCAGAGAATCCAGCAGCTGAGAGAGCAGCAGCAGCAGAAGAAGAAACAAGCTGCAGAAGCAAAGAGAGAGTTGGCGCTCAACGCAGCCAGCCAGAGCGACATCATTCAGAAACAGGTGTGTATGTACGCAGCTGTCACAGTCAGGTTATCATCTCACTCCAAAACTCCTGGCCATCAGTAAATAAACATTCGTCACCCTTCAACCTGGACTCTGTTTGTTTTTACAGCTCAGATCTGTCTTTGTTTATAAAGCTTTATCCTGGCAATGCTTGTTCCTGTGTTTGTTTTTATCTGTATTTGACATTCTGTGCTGTGCTTAATAACAATACATTTCTATAGATAGATGTTGTTCGCATCAAACTGCTGGAAGTTCACGGTAACAGGTCCTTGACTGACCTGTTACCATGAATGTCATACTTCTGATTTTTCGTATTTCCATGAGGTTTACTCCGTCATCCTTCTGTGTCGCATATTCCAGGTGGTCATGAAGCAAAACGCTGTGATCGAGCACCTGAAGCAGAAGAAAACCATGACGCCTGCAGAGAGAGAAGAGAATCAGAGGTTTGCCTCCAGATTAGGGTTTTTTTTTGTGTGTGTGTCACATGTGCTGCTTTAAAAGTCAACAGGTTAACACTTCATTAGTACCGGGAGGACACATTCAATGGCTTCTCAAAGCAAACATCTAATAAGCCAATCAAATGGTAGAAACAGTACATTTAGGCACGTAGACATGACGATGAAGATGATCGGATGTTTAAATTAAGTAACCAAATGGGAACAAAGGTGGTTTAAGTGGGTGGTTTTAAGTGCTAGACAGGCTGGTTTGGGTATGTAAGAAGTTGCTGAGGTTTTCATGCAGCACTGTGTCTAGGTTTATGAAGAATAGATCACTGAATACAAACATCCAGTGATCAGCAGTTCTCTAACCTCAGTGTAGTTAATCGCAGAGATCAGAGAAGAATGCCCTGATCTGAGGTTCGCTAAGACTCAGCAATGGAAGGCAGGGAGGAAAAAAAAGAAGTGATGTGCTGGTGCGGGGAGTGATTTATTAGCCCCCTTTAGTGCATGTCTTTGGACCGTGGGTGGAAGCCAGTTTACCTGGCTGGAGGGTGGATTTGACTCATAACCCTTAATGCTAATTAAGCATCGTTTATAAGTCACGTCCATCCTGTTGTTACAACTGCATTCCCACTCTCCAATCTCTGACTGAGTTTTTTGGCTTGATGTGTTCACTGTACTGCAATGGCCTCCACAGTCACCAGATCTCAATCCAAAGCCTGCAGCATCTGCATGACACTACTGTGTCTTTGACTTGATACCTTCTCGTGCCCATGTGCACGCTCGTATGCATGCTCCCTGCAGCTCATACGGGATCCTCTTCTCTCTCCGTCTGACTTTTGTCTAACACATTGTTGGGAGGTGCAGAACAACATGGGAACATTTGGACGTGTAACCACCAACAGCTGCATGTCTTCACTGTGACCCTACAAGCAGGCAAATCCCTTTATAAATGACGGGAGTTGTACAATATACATCTCTCCTCGACTCCTTCAGGGATTTGTGGTGCCGTAAACTTCAGAAAAGCGACTGAAAAATTAGTCGGAAATTTAAGCCGCCCCATTTTTCACTGCATCATCCCTGTGACCAATCCTACCGTTAGTAGGTCGATATTTTTTTATGCAGAACGTGTTTGTTTTCCAGGCAGCGAGCTACGATTGCTGCTACAAGACCATTTTGTTTACCAAGCTTAGTTAGGACAACTGTAAAATAAAAGCCAAAATATTCAAATGCTTAAAAAAATGTTTTTCTTCGTTCTTCCTTTCCTCCTTCCCGTGTTTTTATGTTAGGTAGAATATACTCTGACCTATAGCCGACCCTGACAACCATTTGTTTATGTCCACAGACACTGTGTAAACACTGTACCCATTCACACAGACCTGAAATACCAAACCCAGACTACCGTGACATCAGTACAGCAGCTCAAGCAGCAGCTGTCTGTCTTTGCTTATTTTTTCAACCTTTTTCCATTTCTTCATGTCATCCTTTTCTCTCTTTTCCTTCAAAACACGGTTCTGTTAGTAATAACGCGGAACTTTGGCATCCGTTTGCATGTTTATGTGTGTCCTGCTTTATTCCTCCACTTTCACGCTGCATTTGGCCTCTGTACTTCAGCGGGCACGCGGTAGGATCTTTGACCTCAGCAGCCGAGGATGTGTTTGTGTGTTTTTCGCACAAACTCTGCGCCGAACGAGGCAACGGCTTTCGATCTCGTCTGTGAATGTTAGCGAACACAAGTGAACATACTGGGAACACATAAATCGTGTGGATTTATTTGATTTTGCGAAATGAAGCTGCTAACATGTAACTTTCTCCCTCTATGGATTCTCATTTGTTTGAATAACAATGGCGTGGATAACATTTCTTCCTCCTGCATCCAGTCCCACTCTATCTGTTCATCTCTCAACATGCCTCTCTTCCAGTCTTCCAACACTCAAGTCTACTCGCTTGCCACTGAAGCGTAGAGTCTTATACAAATAAACACTAGACAAATAAATAGTCTTCTCTGCATCCGTACAAACATGCGGGTGAGTAATAAAACTAGAGATGATGTCACGTTTGCCTAACACTTTTAGAAATTAATCATGTTTGGCTCAGAATTTAAAAGAAGGAAATGTTCGTGCTTTTCTAAGCAGTGGGCTGCTAGCGGAGGTTTTTGGTGCTAGACACTTTGTTTGAGCTTAAACTCGCCACCTGCTTCGGAGTTGAACTCCCCTTTTGACTTCAGAACTGCATTAATTCTTTGTGGCATGGATTCAGCAAAGTGCTGGAAATGTTCCTCAGAGATTTTTTGTCAATATTGACGTGAGCGTCACAGCTGCTGCAGATTTGTCAGCTGCACATCCATGATGCAAATCTCCCGATCCAATGTATCCCAGAGCTGCTCAGTTGGATTGAGATGTGGACTGTGGAGTGCATTATTCTGGTGGAATGCTGTCAGAATAGGGGTACACTGTAGTCTGTAAGGATGGATGTGGTCATTAACAATACTAAGGAGGCTGTGGTGTTTAAGTGATGCACAGTTGAGCGGCCTAAAGGGTACCAAGAAAATTAAAGAGTGGTTGTTTTTAGTTGTGGTTGTCTTCCTATCAGCTTGAAGCAGTTCTCCTGGAGAACTGCCACTCACTGGATATTTTCTCTTTCTCGGCCCATCCCCTGTAAACCCTAGAGATGGTTGTGTGGGAAAATTCCAGAGGATCATCTGTTTTTGAAATACTCAGACCAGCCCCACATGGCACCGACAATCAGGCCACGTTCAAAGTCGCTTTTCTTCATAACCTGCCTAATATTTCTCAGATTTTAACCCTTACTTGATTGCTCACAGCTGAGAAAGAAGAGATTTGGAGCCAGATAGAGATGAAATGCAAGTTCAGAACCTGAGTCAGAACTTTGTAGTTACATGGATTACACAACTGAGCCATGAAAATGCCTCGCGGGCTTGTTTTCAGAGAAATGCGTTCATTGTTCATTGACACGGACTACCATTTCTTACATGTGGAAAGCAAAATTTTAATATTTCAAAGTAGCCACACAGGTTGTACTTCATGAAACATAGAAGCATTGTTTGGATTAATGCGCTGCTCCAGCCCACTGGTGTGTCCTAGGGATACATTTCTTCCTCTGTGACTTTGACTGTACTGACTTTTTGAATTCTAGCTTCAGATATGTGATAATCCTTTCCCTCCCAGCCCTTTCATCCTCCTCTGCTCTCTCAGCAGGAGTATTATGTGTGTTTAATGTCTTTAAAATGCCACAGCACTTTTTCACATGGGCCTTCATTAGATTTAGTAGAGTTCTGGGTTTTTATTTCTTCTTTTAGCTTTTTTCTTATTAGTCTGCAACATTCACAGTTTCAGCACTTTAACATTAAATACAGTATGCTTTTATGAGTTGTGATTTTTAGTTTTAAGAGATGTGATTGCTCTCTTGTTTTCTCTCTCGACCATATTCTGTTCTCATCCTTTCAGGATGATCGTGTGCAACCAGGTGATGAAGTTCATCCTAGACCGGATAGACAAAGATGAGAGGCAGGCAGCCAAGAGGAGGAAGAAGGAAGAGGTTGTGGAGGCCAAGAGGAGGTTAGCCAACGCCAGTAAGCTCTCCTCGCTCCTTTACCGACACAAAGAGAGCCTCAAGATGGAGATTCTGAAGAAGCGGGCACTTCTTGACAAGGAGCTGCAGCTAGAAGCCCAGGTATGAAGCAAGCTTGAGACATGAAAAAATATTAAAAAAGCATAAAGGTTTTTACTCTGGGCGTGATGTTTTAAAGGCAACTATAAAGAACTGGTGACAAATGGCACTAGAATGCCTTTATTTTGCACAAAAAGGGCAGGAAGTGACATTAATCGCATTCGTTTCTGGGGTTGAATTCTCCAGGAGGAGCTAAAGAGGGATCTGCTGCGGATGAGGAGGGAGAAGGAAAGGGCTCAAGCTGCAGCCCAACAGGCAGCCCAGGCTGCCGCCGCCGCTGCCACCCACAACCAGCAACAGCAAAATCTGTCCCACATCACCTCTCAGCATCACCTTAGCACGACTGTCAGCACCACACACAAGAGGAAACGGGAAGAGGAGAGGGAGATGACGACGTCAGCCAAGTCCAAGAAGAAGAAAATGATCTCTACGACGAGTACAAAAGAGAGCAAGAAGGACACAAAGCTCTACTGCATCTGCAAGACGCCCTACGATGAGACCAAGTATGATGATGCTCTGTTAAACACTGTCACAATAAAAATACTGTATGAGCGAGTTTAGCTGCATTGGTGACAGCACTAAGCTGAATAAAAAGAAAAAAGACTGGAGACGTGCAGCTGTCCACATTAAAACATTCACAGTTTTTACTGCCCTGATATCAGAGGTCAAAGAATAGACGATGTTCTCACTCTCAGCCAGTTACTCTTTTTAAATGTACTCTTATTTTCAGGGTTTTACTCAGTATTGCTCTATTCATCAAGTCCTCATTGAATTAAACCTGTCTTCTATTGCAGAACAAATCCTTCCAATCTCATATGTTTATTTTTAAAACTAAAATTTATTGTATTTATTGACTTACTGTAAACCGGTGACTGTCTACAGTGACACCTGTGTGTCCTCGTTCTCTCTAAAGGTTCTACATTGGCTGCGATCTGTGTACCAACTGGTATCACGGAGAATGTGTGGGCATCACAGAAAAGGAGGCCAAGAAAATGGACGACTACATCTGTGTGGAGTGTAAGCGGGGCCAGGAGAGCAGCACAGAGGAGCTGTACTGCATCTGTCAGACGCCATATGACGAGTCACAGTAAGGAGCAAGTTTTTAATTGCTTTAAATTCAGCTTAATGGAGTGTGTGAGAATTTCAGACACAGTTGCTATTTTTGCTCCTTTTGCAATTTCCTTAAACTCATCTTGGTTCATTCATTTTTACCGTAGCGTTTATTTTGAACTGATGGAAATGTGTCTTTAGTATATTTATGTTTTACTTTTTTTCCCTATAGATAACAGTTCTAATGTTTGAAGGTCGAAAGTAGCGATCCAGTTATGTCTGTGTAGGTTCTCAGTCATCGAGGACTTCTTAAATTTCTTTCTAAGCTCCTTAAATCCATTTATATCAAAATCTGTATTATGCTGCGGTTGCACTAGTAAAAACAGTGATTTGAGACACAACAAACACAACAACATCTGGATTGCCTTTGAAATGGTTACTTGGAGGATGGGGAGGGGGTCTGTGACGACTCACAGTCAGTTGCTGTCTTCAAAGTGACTTTGGTGCATCAAGACAGCAATAAAATAGAGTCAGTCTGATATCAGTTTACAGTTAATCGGGGTCAAGTTGGCAATTACGTGCAATCTGTTTGGGATACACAAACAAAATCTCAAATCTGTTGCCGTCTACCTTGACAGAAATTCATATTAACTACATACATTCAGAATCCAGCAGCTTGAAACAGAAATTCCTCCACAAATAGTGATGCAGTTGCGTCAGGACAGATTTACTTGCTTAATGCAATAGGTGCTCAGCAACCTCTATTTTACTTATGAATATAACCAGTTGGCAACCCCTTGAGTCAAGTCCACTATTGCAAAGAGATGTGTTGCAGATGAGTTGCACTGGTTCGCATAAACTGCCTCAGAATGTTTGCAGTGTGTTGGCAATCTGAGTTTATACATTAGACAGCAACTAATTCCAAACCTTTGCCAGTCAGTCTGAGTCTGACCTGCAACTGTTTGCAGACAGGTTGCCTTCTACCAGGTGGCCTGTGATCAAAAGCAGCCAATAAGAGTTTGAATGTGCAGCACCTGGAATCCTTTGGACGACCAGTTGGTTGCTGCAGCTGTTTTTAATGGGCGGAGTTTATTCATTTGTAAAGAAAAGAATCATTTTTACCAACTGTTATTACGTGTCACCTTGTTGTTTCATTCGGTAAATAAGACTTTCTTAATAAGTAGTTTAAAATATTAAGCATAGACATGAAAAATGGCTTTTTTACTATCCAAGCAAACAATTCTTCTTCTTTTAATTATCAATATGAGCATGTTTCAAATAGGAATCCATCATAAGTGCTTTATATGTAAATGACACCAATCCGTGAGTACTTTTCATCTACTCAGGTTTTACATCGGCTGCGATCGATGTCAGAACTGGTACCACGGTCGCTGCGTGGGAATCCTGCAGAGCGAGGCCAACCACATCGACGAATACGTGTGTCCTCAGTGTCAATCGACAGAGGACGCCATGACGGTCTTCACACCGCTCACCGACAAGGACTACGATGGCCTGCGAAGAATTCTGCGCTCCTTACAGGTGAACTGAAGATTTATAGCTGTTGCACAAGCTCACTTCTCACATGAGAGATGGGGTCATACCCTCCAGCCTAGACTACCTGCTAATGTGTGCCGTGGAAGAGAAGGTTGAGTCACAGAAGCTTATTTATGGGGGTCACAAACAAGTACATAAACACACCAAGCAGTATCTGAATCAGCAGGACTGTAGTTGTAGTTTTATTATCAGCAATGGGGAAAAACACTAACGTAGCTCCTTGTAGCCCCATTACAATGCAAGAGCAGCAAACAAAAAGTCCTCTGTGTGCGTCTTATCTGATGGGTTTGGCTCCCCCTACTTGGACAGCTGCCTGGCCTCTGCGTCTTTTCTGGCTTCCCTTTCTTTTCTCTTTCTTCTCCTCTAATTTTCTCCTCCTCTGTCCAGCAGCCTGTGTGTGTGTGTCTGTGAAATGTGGGAGAAAGTGAGAGAGAACATCTGTGTTGACCCACCTGCTTTCACTGTAATTTTCATGGTGCTGTTTGTTTTTCTTCATTGGTTTCAGCTTTCTCAAGCGCCTTTCTTTGTCTTTATTTCCATTTTTTTTGTCTCTCCCACCTCTGCAGGCACATAAAATGGCGTGGCCATTCCTGGAGCCAGTGGACACGAACGACGCCCCAGACTACTACAGGGTTATCAAGGAACCAATGGGTGAGTGCACTGTTGTGAATTCAGTTATTTATATTTGTAAATGAACAGTTAGTAGCTCTTGTCTTATTTCTAAAACGTTATAGAATCCTATTCTGGATGCATCTTATAGCCTCAATGTTAGAGTTTTATTGTTTCTTTGGAGCTAGAAGTGACCTAACTAAACTAATAAAATATTAGAATTTTACTCCCAAAACAAAAGCACAAATTTCAAGTACGATTACAAGTTAAAAGTATAAGTTACAGCTACAAGTCTGCAAGTATGTCAGTCAAAGGGGCCACACCCTCAACATTAATCCTCAACAAAATCCAGATAGGCACTTCAAACAGAGACACCAACTATCAGTCACCTCTAATGCAGTCCGATCCCCACTCACAGCTTGACCCATGTGACCTTAAAAGCTCACATGTTGGAGGGATGGGGCAGTGTCTCAGGAAGGTAATTCACACCTTTTCCCCATGATGACAGTAATGACCCACGCGTTGATTCACAGATGGTTACAGGGGCGGGTCAGTGACTCTCAGGGGTTCCAAGAGGACAACCACACTTGGGGTTAAATACATGTCCATCAGTTTTTTTTAGCGCTGAAGAAGCTTCTTGGATCAGAGGTGACCAAAAAGAAGTTCAGTTGCCTTCATTTCAAGTAGAGATGGCACGATACCACTTTTTTATGTCCGATACCGATATCATAAATTTGGATATCTGCCGATACCGATATAAATCCGATATAGTGTATTTTTTAATCAATAAAACTGTTTTTTAATATCTTGCTGCATTTTGTATAAATTCATACTCAAGTTTTAAAAAACAAAACACTGTGTCTTTGTGCCCCCTTTTCCCTGTTCATGCCCTATCGGCCCCCCTGGCTAAACTTTGCTAGATCCGCCCCTGCACAGTTACCAGTCGTCAGCTGCGTAGAAAAAGATCCTGGTCTAGAAAGTAATATTAAATAAATTCTAACAACAGCTTATAAGCTTAAACGTGCTGCTGTTGTTCAGCCGCTGGTTTCCTCTTTCTGGTGCAAAGTGGGCCAAAAACAAACAACAGAGACGGGAGTCGCGACAGAAAAGCCGATCAGCCGATCATAGATCAGTTTTATGATTGAAGTAGCAACAGGAGAGAGAGAGAAGAGGCAGTCACTCCATATATTGGTTGTTAAGCTTAACGTGGGAATGCGTTACAAACATTCAGAGATGAACTTACACACTTGCTTTACGTCTCTCTGGGATAACTTTCTCTGCGATGAAATGCTGGTTTGGTAGCGAGGCTCCAAATGCTGAACCAGACCGCTGAGAGGTCTCGCACGCTCAGCCGCTCTGTCACGTGACGCATACTGCTCCGACTGCTAAGGTTATGAGCTGAGTTGCACCATGTCGCAAGTTTTGTGAGGTGCTTTTGTGATATGTAATGGATCGGATTGCATTTGTTTTTGTTTCTCTCCGATATCCGATCCAGTACTTTAGATCAGTATCGGACCGATACGTAATATCAATCGGTCCATCCCTAATTTCGAGTCCTTCGGACTGTTAAATTAGCTGTAGAAACAAGAAAAACAAACAGCTTTTGTACCGGGCTGTAAATATGTTAATATAACAGGTGGTTGGGCATTTTGATAAGGGACTCTATGGGGATTGCCTCACTTTTGTGGCCAGCCTCTGTGGGAGTTTTTGACACTCCTGTGCTGGCTTCATTTTTCAACCCCGCAGGTTGCCGTCTGGTCTGGATTTGAGCCTTGTTTGTGTTACTTCTGAACTTATACTTGTGCACGTTTTAACCAAACTTTTTCTAAACTTTTCTGACAGCTCCCCTCATTTTCTCATTTTCCCAGAAACCTCATTTGTGAAGGTGTTTTTGTATTTATTATAATAATTTGTGCCTGGCCAGAAAGACAAAGCTGCATCAGTAAAATTTAACTGTTGCATATATTAACTACTACTATAACTTTTGCATTTTGAAAATATTGCAAAATATTGATTAATAGATGGTTGTATAAAGGACTTTGTATATGATGGTTGTCTCAGTAAAAACATATGTAAGGTGCACAATATGATGCAACGCTCTCTATAACTATCAAGCTTTCTTTTTATAGCTGTGTGATCTACTTCTAGGGTTCATTCATTATGACAGGATGCATCCTCACATTCCACCTTCGCATCGTCCTCACATCTTGCGATTCACAGCATCAGTCTTAAGCAGCCTTTATAAAACATGCCGTGTGATGAAAGACACAATTATGTTTCCTCGCTCTTCCACGCACTTTGTCTCCTTGAGGTGCAATTAAGGGATTGGTGATGAAAAGCACTGTAATTGTTGGGAGTGTGTAGCCTCCTTGAGGAGAAAAATATAAAAACAAAAGTGGGAGTTGGTACATAATTTGTACTTTGTAATTTGAGTAACTTGGAATGGGATTGGTTGGGAGTTATCCCTGTGTAGGCGATAAAATTGCTTCTGTAGTGCTGGTTTTTTATTTTGGAGTTGCTTTAGGCTCTGGAAGTAACACCCAGGCTCTATATATCTTAAACATTAAAAAAAACAAAAACACCACCCGCCAGGAGGGCAACACGGAGGAAGCCCTCCAACTCAGATCAAACCGGCCATGTAAATGGGGACTTGCGTCAACGGGGCCTTTTTGAACTTCCATCCAAACAAACCGTTAATGAGCTGGTCCGTGTCTGCCGGGCTCCCTGTGGAAAGGGACCAGCCCCACATTCAGCTCCTGTTGGCCTGGTCCTGGAAACTCTAGTCCTCCCCTCACCCGTCCACCGCAAGAAAAAGTCCTTGTTGGTTTACAAAAAATAAAAAGAGCTTTTGGCTGGTGAAGCTGCTGGCGTTGGTAGTTTTTGGAGGGTTTTGAGATGAAATCTGATGACAGAGAAGAAGGAGGTCTTTGATATTGACCATGAGGTTTGTGAGCCTCTGGTCATCTGGGTGGGGGTTAAAGAGGTTAAGAGTCGGATGTGTTTGTTTGAAACGCAGCCCTGGGGATGCCACGCAGTGCGAACTGCCAGCAACGGCAGATTATGTAGAGCCTCATCTGTTGCCAGTTAGCTTCTTTGCTAAATCTCTTATTTTCTTAAGTTTTCTACTTGTTTTAAAAAGGTTAGCAACTCTCAAAGCTCCCTTTCAAGAGAGGAACTGATAACCATTTTTGCTTTTTTCCACCCCCTCAGAAATGACTCTTAGATAATGGCGCTCTCCTCAGGAATGACGAATCGGTCACGTCTCAGTAACTAATCTGGAAGGCTGAATAGATCGAGGTTAATGCTGGCAGAGGTTGTGGATTTTTGCTGTCACATATAAAGCGACGCTCTGTGCTTCCACGAAACATATTTGAACGTCTGTCAAGCACATACCACATAAGCTGCAATTACTTTGAAGCAAGCATGCTGATTTGTGGAACGAAATCGATTAGAAAACCCAGATATTTGTGCTCTGTTTCCGCATATGTGATGCGTTTCTCTGCCAGAAACTAACAATTAAATGACGTTCATATTACAAACTTGCCATCAAGTCATTTACCAAACCAGATCTTTAAATCTCCCTTTGCCAGACCTTTCCACCATGGAGGAGAGGTTACAGAAACGCGAGTACATCAAGCTGACGGAGTTTGTAGCAGACATGACCAAAATCTTCGACAACTGCCGCTACTACAACCCCAGCGACTCGCCCTTCTACCAGTGTGCCGAGGTTCTGGAGAACTTCTTTGTCCAGAAACTCAAAGGCTTCAAAGCCAGCAGGTAAGATGACGGTGAGGATGATGAGGATAACAAAATGGTAGCGGGGTACTTTCGAAGATGGGCTTTGTTTTTAATACCCAGAATCAGAGAGAATTTTCAGTGTCTTTCAGAAAGACACCAACTAATTAGCAGTTTCACTTGTAGCCCTATATGATTGACTCTGACTGGTAGATTTACTCTAGTGAGAGCAATAAAATTTAATCTCTCACAGAAAAATAACAATAACTTTGCTCCTGGATCACTATCTTATGGTTCTCCTCAATGTTTTAAATGTTCTTTCAACCACCAAGCTTGTTCTGTCTGAAATAAGCCGGTAACACTGTTAAAGGGAACCTCTATTGTGCCTATTTTTTTAAATATAATTCTGGACCTTAATACCAAACTCTTTCCCTTTTCAACTGCCCTTCCCTTTACGCCGGCTTTCTTGATTGGCTTTCCTCTGGAAACAGAAGGTCTAAAGATACAGATCCAGTATGGTCATATTTAGAGCCCCAGTTTCACAGGCATAGAGACCAGTCAGAGAACTCCCTGGCAACCTCCAGTCGCTAGGGAAACCTGGTTCATAGGTGGTTGGTGGAGGTTGCAGGCAGGTTGCCACAGTTGCCAATAGTCTGCATGGAAAATGCTGACAAACACTGGCCGCTCGCTGTCTGAGCCATAAAGAAACGAATAAGTGCGATGCAGACCGGAAACGGAGAACGTTTGCTCTCACGAGTAAAAGTTGGGCCTTTTCAGATGTTTTGGTTGGAGCATTAAAGCAGAGCTTTCACTTTGAAGTCCCTATTTCTGTTTCGCATAAAGCTCAGGGAGCAGTTTGCAGACAATTCGCCATCTTCCATGCAAACTGCCGGCTACTGCGGCAACCTGCAAGTGACCAAAACCAATCGCAAGGAGGTTTTCGTCACAGCATCCTGTATTTGTAACAGATTTCACATTATCCACTGACACCAAAGAGGAATACACACTTCAGAAAGAAACGAATAGAAACGTCTAATTCAAATCTTTCACTCTGTCAGATTTATATAGTCGTTGATCATGTTTTGCTGGAGTTGTGTTTGCTTAATTACTGGATATATTTTTTTCTTTCTTTTCATTCACACCTTCACTGTTTATCAGTGCGACCTTCACACTTTCACACATTCAGGCTTCAGTCAGCTCATCTTTGCACTCCTAACAACAAACCTGCTCAGGCTTTCATCGTGTCGTCGGAGCACTTCATGCTGGCAGCTACATAAAAAGCCCACTTTCTACCATTCAACCCGACATGTCGTATGACAGAGCGTAGGGAAGGATCTGTGGAAGTCAGACCTGTTTAGATGCACCTTTATACCCGACACCTTCTCCACTGTCTGCCTGTGCTTGGTCGTGCCTCTGAACTCATCTCACTGAGCTGTCCTCGCTGTGCCATGTGATTGCTTTGGTCGGATGCACTCTACAAGATGGCAGGAATGCAGTCACATTATCTTTCAGGTGGCTTTCTTTGTGTGTGTGTGTGCATTAGTTTGATTAAATAGGGCGAGGAGGGTAGCGGGCGTCTCCTAACTGAGAAGATGGGAGCGCCTGTGAGCATTTGAGCCACGATGTTTTAATGGGCTCAGTAAGTCTTGTGGTCTGCATCCAGCTTTATGTGCTTGAGGTGGCGACGTACTTCACCTGCATGTACTGACGTCATCCATTCTCTCTCTCTGTCTCTCTCTTGCAGATTGTGATGTCAGACTCCTGGGTGCCGGGGTCACTCTTAAAAACAAACAAAATATAATTCGCTATCCTGGATGTTGCTGTTTTCACTTGTTTTAAAAGAAACAGCATTAAAAACTTTGTAAGAAAGTGCATATATTAAGACACACGTTAGGTGTGATCATTTTTTTTATTTTAAAAGCAAATAAAGGAGAAAAAAAGTTTCTACTGTCTAAAAACATTAAAAACAAAACAATGGCAGCCATGTTGGTCACACAAACCATTCAAGGGAAAATGTATTTTTTTACACGCTTCCGCCAGACGACATTTTGTTGAGGCAAAAAGAAGTTTGGCTAAATTTGTTGGTCTCTGAGATTCAGTTTCTGATCACAGGTGTTGATTTTGACTGTAAAATCACACGTGAGCGACACAAACACACACTTTACTTTTGCTTTGATAGAACTGTTGTTCTTTTCTTTTTCTTTTTTTTGCCATTATAACATGCTGCAGAACATTTTTACCTCATTTCTTTTTTTTTTTCTTTTTTTTTTTGACATTCATTACATTTTCTTTATTGGCTGTACCCATGTATTATATTTCATGTTCATATTTTATCTTTTTTGTGAAGGAATATGTTTTATGTTATAAAGGAAATAATGGTTTACGCTGTAAAAACAAAGTAGAGTGAAGAAAAACAAATCTAGTTTAGCTTTCATATTCAGAATATGACGAGCTTAGCGGTCTCCACTATAATAAAAATAAATCTTTTTTTTAAAAAAACAAGACTCTGTATACTTATTGTTGGGTCGACATCAAAAACACACATTTCAGTAACATTTCACCAACATGGCTGCTTGGTCTGCAACAACCCGTCTGACCCACTGGCATCCAATACATGTTTTGCTATTGCTTTTTTTTTTTTTTTTTTGTACTTTCCCCTAGTCACATATTTGTCACTTTGTAAAGCCTTTAATAAAAAAAAAATAAGAAGAAAAACAACAACAAGAAGTTTTCCAACTGTGTTCTTCCTCCTCTCTTTGCCTGTTTCTGTAGGTCACATAACAACAAGCTGCAGTCAGCTGCCTCTTAGCTCTGCTTAAAAAAACAAAACAAAAACTAAACAAACCAGGTGTCACACAGACCCGGCTTGTGGTTTCCTCTGACTGATTAAGAAGCGTGGTCCAAGTCAGGCTGCGTCTGAACCCGACTCCTCTCTGGAGGAACGGCGCCCCCACCTCACACAACACCTCACCTGGCACCTGCAGTGCTGAGAAGAAAGAAGTGAATTGGAAAAAGGTTCATTTGTCATCAAAAATGTCAGTGTCGTCTTCATACCAAGGGGCAGGGCAGTTGCAGACTTACTCTCTGGCAGCCTTTTACATCCCAATCAGCCATCCCTGCCAGTGTAGCCCCTCCATGAGAAGAAAGCCTGCAGAGCGCAGATGGCGAGGCAGCAGCGCTCGTTGGATGGTCGGTGGCAGTCTTATCTTTAAAGCAGCAGCAGACTCTTGGAAGTTCATTCTGTAGCTGATGGCTGTTTGTTTGTTTGTTTGTTTGTTTGTTTGTTTGTTTGTTTTGTGTATCCTATATAGCAAAGTGTCACCTTCTGTCCCCCTTTCTTAACTTCATCCTGTCGCGTTTTCACAATGCAAACATCCCGCTCGATTTTAGCCACTGCTTCAACTGGAAACTGCTGTAAAACCTGCACAGCCGATGTCGGGAAATGTTTCATCTGAAGCTAAATGTGCAATTTGGAGTTGACGTCCCTCATATTCAATAAGCGCCACCTTTGTTTTTGCCAGGAAAAAATAATAACCCCACAAAGATAGGTCGGCACTGCAGACCAGCTTCATTCAGCCAGTCCTGAAGACGCAGCATCACCTTACATTAGACCTAGTTATACTGACCACATTGTTTTCAGGTTTGTAGTGCTGCATGAAGCATGAATCAGCCTCGTATAACTCAGTGTGTCTTTCAGGGTCACATTTCACTGTATATTATCGAAGCAGCCTGCTGATGCTGAGATGAGCCCCCTGTAACAGAAGCTCAATTTTGTACAAAAAAAAAAAAATTGGACCTCATGTGAGGGGGGGTCTTCATTTAGTCTCAGTGCAGCAGTGCTTTCATGTTGATTTCCACAGGGAACACCCAAAATAAGCTGCCCCACCCACAGCATCCTGCCGTTCTTTTGACCTTTTTTCCATTTAGTGTTCTTCTAAAATGCAAGTTTAAAAAAAAGTTAGCTAGTTTTGTGCCTCCTTAAACATGACTAGTTGAAAGAGGCAAAGGTCCACATATGAGGAGAGGGAGGGGGATTTATTTTATTTTTTAAAAGGTCTTCAGGGAAGGTGAAACTTGTACGAGGCTTAACCGACCTACAAGTACTCCACCCTCCTCTCATCGAACTCCGGTGTCCGTTTCTGTCGGTGGCTGAGTCTGTAAGTCTGTCTCTCCTTATCTTTCAGCCACTTCTTCCAGCATAATTCACTGAAGCTGACAGGTTGGCTCACATCTGTCTCTCAACTCTGCCTCAAAGCATGGTTAAGTAATTGGGTAATGGACTTTTCCACTCACAATCAACTCAGTTATGTTGCGGTCCGCGGCAGCAGGGTAAACTCCGAGTGGAGTGGGGGGGACTGGGGAGTCTTTGTACCGTGGGGTTTGTATGAAAATTTTATAACTGCATTTTTGGCATTTCTGGGAGCATTTTTGTAATTTGTGATCATCCGTTTTGTAGGAGGGGAGCCGTTAAAAGGCAAAGTTGCAGTTGTCTTTTAGTTTATATGTTGGAGACTGTTTATAATCAGGAAACGTTTCAGTTTTACTCGCAAAGTTTTTACATTTTCGGGTGTTTTAATTAGAGTTGAGAGATAAAGTAGCCTCTGTCATCTTCTGTGTGTTTGTATGTCTTTCATATGTCTGTCTTTTCAAACATGGCTCACTTTGTAATCTGACGATAATGTGCTTTATCCACTGTTTGTAATCTCTATTGTATATTATTGCTGTCCAAATATGTAGAGATGAGAGATTTTTAGAGCAGTAGAAACTTTTATTTTTCACTATTTGAACCAGCAACTAAGCCCGCCTGTATATTTTAACTGTCTATTTTTTTCTCTTTAAAGTGAACTCTACATTTAGGTGAAATTGCCCTTTATATTAAAAGTGCTGCATATTGTGAGCATAAAGGTTTTGAACGGGGTAGAGTGACACAGTAACTCTTGTACAGAGTTTTTCTTTTTTGTAAGAAACCAACCAGTTCAGCATAACGTCTATATTGACATTGCATTTCTTGTATTATTTATTCATATCAATGAAAAGTTCTCAGTTTTTTGAGTAATGTTGGAAAAAAGAAAAAAAAAAAAAACGTAACTGCAGATAAAAGTACTCTATGTTTTTAACAGATTGTGGCAACTCTGAGGAGATTCTCTTTTGTACTTGATAGGACATTTCATCCTAGATAATAAAGTAATGTTTTTGACACCAGTGTTTTCTCTCATTGCCTCTGCTTTTTAAGCTTGATACAAGGTTGTTTTTGTTTTTTCGTGCATTGTTTTAGTCGAGTTTAAGGTTGTTTGGATGAGCAGTTCTCATATTTTGTCTAAAACAAATGTCTTCGATCAGTGTTTCCCCCAAAGAGACTTCTGTCTGCTCCACTCTGTGTCCCCCCCACGCAGACAAAGGTATGTTTGAATGGCTCTTTGTGAGGACGTAGCCTCACCAGTCATTTTGCGACCTGCGGCAGCTCAATTGTTCGTTAACACAAACATCCAATCACCCAAAATGGCAGCAGCTCATTTAGGCTTGTAGACATGGTCAAGAAGACCTGCTGAAGTTCAAGCTGATCATAATGTTGGTGTCACATAGGCTGGTCTGAGTATTTTAGAAACTGATGGGATCTAACTCTAAACAGAGAGAAAATACCCAGTGAGCAGCAGTTCTCTGGGTGAGAATGTCTTGTTGATGCCAGGGGTCAGAGCACAGACTGTTTTTAGATGAAAGGAAGGCAGCAGTAACTCATGTAACCACTCATTACAAGCAAGGTATGCAGATGAGCATCTCTGGACGCACAACACAACAAGCCTTGAAGCAGATGGGCTACAAAAGCAGAAGACTACACTGGGTGCCACTCCTGTCAGCTAAGAACAGGAAGATGAGGCTACAGTTCACACACGCTCACCAAAATTGGACAATTGAAAATTGGGTTCAAGTGGTAAGATCAAGAATTTGTTATAAACAACACAAAAGCATGAGTCCATCCAGCATTGTATCAAGTGGTGTTGGGGATGTCTTCTTGGTACACTGTGTGCCCCTTTACAAAAGCATAACGCCATGTCTCAAATTACAAGTCTTTTCAAACGTGTTTCTTCAACATGACAGTAAGTTCACTGTACTTATACCGTCTCCACAGTCATCAGATTTCAACCCAATAGAGCTTTTGGGATATGGTGGAATGGGCAATTCCCACCCTGGAGGTGCAACTGTTTGATGCTGTTGTGTCAACATGGGCAAAAATCTTTGAGCCATGTTTCCTCTCCTTAGTGAATTTGAAGAACGAAAGCAGTTCTGAAAGAGAAAGCAATTAAATACAGTTCTAGCAGGTTTTACCTAATAAGAGAGCTGATAAGTGTACACATAAAGTGTACACCAAAATCTTAACCTAATTTTAGCCACCATGTTTAACTATCGAACCCTTACGTTAATCTAAAGTTAATTCTAACTTTAAACCCCAAACAGCAAGTCAGGCAGGTATGATAATAATTTTGAAATAGGTTACTGCATATAAATATAACATTTTAAGTCCATACAAGAAGCGTCCCTTCCCTTTGAATCAGTGAGACATGACCATATTGATAACTTAATGATCAAGAGCAGAACTGTAAGCAGTCCAGGGATGTTTTACTGACACTTTTAAAGAGAAAACCACAGCCAATGAGATGAGATGAAATAACAGCATGCATAGTCTCCAATTAAGCATGAAATATAAACAGCTAATTTTCAGCACAAAAGAAATGCTCGACCACTGTGCATGAACGAACAACAGGATGATCTCTCACATTTTTTCTTCTTTGAATTTGTAACCATTTGAGTAAAAATGGCCATTTTTTTTTCAAATCTCACAATGGAAAGAATCCCTCCAAAAATTCTTAGTTCAGGATCTGGAGCATCTCCAAACGGTAATCACATCTACGCTGGGCCGGGGTCCATGTTTTAAAATAAATCTGCTCATAGCTTTTAATAAAACAACTGTTCTGGAGGAAGGTTCAGAGGAGGTTGGAGGTTGTTACCCTCATGGCTTATCCGGTCAGGATGAGAATGAACAGTCAGCAATTACTTGCAGGTTTCTCGTTTTATTTGAATAATGCGTATAAAGGAAAGACACACATGGACTGTTAACTCTGAAAGGAAATAAAGTATGACTTAAGTCATTCAGTAACTCAAATTAATACATGAACTCGGGGAAACTCAACAGAAACTCTCCTCAGCTGCCAACCCATGTGGGAGTGAAGAAAGAGTGAGCTGTAGGTGAGTGCAGTCCTTATATAACGGGTGACAGGTGAATGCAAGGCACCTCCTCCAGCTCAACCTGGGGAACACCGAGGTGTTCCTAGGCCATCCGAGAGACATAATCTCTCCAGCATGTCCTGTGTCTACTCTGGGGCCTTTAGCAGGATCTGCCCGGAACACTACACCCAGGAGACATCCAGGAGGCATCCTTATCAGATCCCCAAATGACTTCTACTGGCTCGTTTCAATGTGGAGGAGTAGCATTTATCTACTCTGAGTCCCCCTTCAATGACTGAACTTCTCACCCTTAGGCTGAGCCAAGCCACCCTTTGGAGAAATCTAATTTCCAATCTGGAAGCTCAGTTATTAAGAATTTATACATTTGCAACATTTTATCTATTTTACATAGCTTAACTAAGATGCATATTCCATCTCTTCCCCCCTCTTATCATGTTTTCTCTAATAATGCATTCAATTTAAAAAAAAAAAAAAAAGATGCAAAGGGAATATCATCATTTCCTGAGAAGGAAGCATGCACGCAGTAAACCAAACAGGACCAAGAATAGAACCTTGGGGTACACCGCAACACAAATTCACTGACTTCTTGCTACTTTATTACTTGGAAATTACATATTAACATTACTTTCGATATCTGTATCTACACCTGTTTTTGCATTAAAACAATACTGGTTTATTAACTGGGCAAACTGGGGTAGATTACTCCCAGTGACCCATGGTAATTTGAATTGACATGATGAGAAACACTTGTCTTGTTGGGAACTGTTTTATAGAGAGGTTAGATGAGAGGCAGCCTGAAGCAACTGAAACAGGGGTCTCTGCAGGAGCCACAGCTAATTGTTCCTCTGAGGCCCCTTGGTGAGCTGATCTGACTCCAAATATGAAGTTCAGCTTTCAGCTTAAATTGTTAGCTGCATGCTCAAGGCAAGCATGAGGGACAAGGTCATGACCCCTGCGCTGAGACACACCATCTATTCCTGTGATGAAATTACCAAGATGACACATCCAGCCACCTCCTGCTTTGATCTTTCACTTTTCTCACACACCCCTCTCCACAACCCACCCCCGACTCTTTAACTCTCCACTCACCACTAAATGGATCCAGAGATTCAAATGGACGCAGATGACCACAAGCCCGAAGTTGGTTGTGAGGGGCGTTCACACAGGAAGCAGCTCATAGATATTTTCACCCAACCTCCCCTCCCTTTTTTCTCCCCTCCCCCTCCTTTACATCCTCTGTCATGAGGAATGTGCTCCCGCTGTGATAGTAGCAACAATGTGCAGCAGGCTCCTGTTTCCTGCCCGTATGCATCTGTTCCCTCCAGCGCTGATCCCAGATAGGGGCTTCATCGAGCCTGGGAACTGACCTGGGCTGACATACATGCAGAGAGGGAGAAAAGAGGCTCAGCGCTGCCTGGATCAACATCCAAGTTCCCAAGTCAGTCTCTGTCTTCGTGGAGGCCAGGCCGAGACCTTTGGTTGCTAAACTCTAATTAGGTTGGTGACTCCTTGTCCGGCTCTCAGTGGGAATGACAATAAGGATCACTGTTGGTAGTGTACGTGTGACTGAACGAGCCAGGGGGTGTTGGTCTAAAGATAAATAAATTCTTCGCAGGGCCACAGTACAAAACAAATACACACTTTTATTGAGTTCATGTTTAGTAAAGCAAAGTAAGCGTTCAGTGCAAATCTTTTCCCTCTCATAAGAAGCATGAGCTCAGGGTCGTACTACAGTTGAGCCTGGGATTTTTTATTAAATAAGAAAGACAGACGTAACAACACGGTCTCTACAATTTCACTTCTCTCCCTGCATTATTTTACACAACTGTCTGTATTCCTCCTCCTCCTCCTCTTTGCTCCCCACCTCACGTTTCCTCTGATCCTGCCGACATACTTTGAATGCTCACCGTCCAAGAGGAGTATGTGTTTGTTTGCAAGAGAGGAAAGCAATAGGCACTCCAAAAAGGAGCTGTGACGGAGGCACTTCTTTCAGTCGTGTGTCCAGGTGTGCGGAGGATCAGATTCCCGCGATTAGATTTATGGCGTACTCCCAACAACAGCGTACCTCCTCCTCCTCATTCAGCAAGACTCCTTTTGATGTCCCAGTCGACCTAGCCAGACATCATCATGAAATATATAATTAAACTAAAAGAAGTAAGCCGCTCTCGTGACATGCAAAATCTCTGCTCACTTTTTGTCTTTTTTTCCCCCTCCTCTTCCTCCTCCACTGAAGGTTTGGTGCTGCTTTTAAGGCCCCCGATTCCCTTCCTTTTAATATTGCGTTTCCTGCTTGCCATTATCAACCCACAGTGACGCCATGCACAGGACTGAGTGTTGCAAACCAACACAGTCCAATGCCATACAATATTTTGCATCCATTGGCTAATTAAAGCAAGATTTACATGTTATAAGTCTTCAAGAAGAAACTGTTAATTACAGGGGAAAAAAGGATTTGGAGTAATTTTGGAACAGTCGTGCGTAGAAGTGTTTCAGTTTAACCAGATTTGCTCCATGTCTTTGTGTTGTTAGGTTATTGTGGAAATACAGAGCAAACTTTTAATTAAAGGGGAAAAAAAACGTTTTGTTTTTGTTAAATTAACAGCATAGTCCACAGTTCATCTAGCAATACCATGTATATTTCTCAAAGACCAAACCAAAGTATGACTGGAGGAAACTATGTAGGGGGAACATTGTTGCACTCATTAAATTGAAGGAATGAGGAGCTTTCTCTGCTTTTTATGTAAAGTTTTACAGGAAAGCTGAGATAATTATCTCTGTAACATCCTGTGGTCTGTGTACCCTAAATGCCTTAATGTTTGGATCCTAACCCTATCATCTAGAGAATTTAAAGAAAGAATTTCTTTGGGGGGAGAAAAGAAATGCAAAATGTCCCCGAGTACTATGAGAATGATTTTTTAAAGACAAAAATCAAATATCCTGATATTGTAGGGTTAA